CTTGTATACAAATATCACGAACAGCTTTTTTTTGTAATAACTAAAAACTGAAAACAACCCAAACATCCAACAAGCGGTAAAGGAATAGATAATACTGTGCCACGTCCATAATACTATTCAGCAATGAAAAGGAATGAAGTACTGGTAAATGCTACAACATGCAAGAATCTTAAAAATTAAGCGAGTGAAAGAAGCCAGACAAAGAAAGAAATCACACTGTGTGAGTCCATTTATATAAACTTCTCAAAAATGCAAACTAATGTATAGTGACAGAAAGCAGATCAGTGGTTTCCTGGCGAGGAGGGAAGTACAGGAGAGGAGGAAAGGAAACAGATTAGAAAGGAACATGAGGAAACTCTTAGAAGTGATGAATTCATGAAGTGTAAATGTACATCAAAACTCATCAAACTGTACACTTTCAATATGCGTAATTTATTGGTAATATCTCAATAGAGCTCCTTAAAAATGCATTATTAGCATGATATTTGATATGAGATAAAAGCTTTAGTTCACAATTATACAAAAAAATTGTCTCAAATCTGTTAAACCACTTGTTACAGATACAGTCTTTGTATAAAAAACAAAATGATTCTTTTCTCTATGCATTCACACAAAACTGAAAAATAAAAGGGCAGCATATTCACTTTCAATGGTGTACACAGACCACAGATAAAAGGGCCTGCCTGACTGCTGGGCAGGGCAGGTCATCATATTCCAAAGTGAGGAAGGGGAGAGCAAGTAATATATTTATTTTTTCCTATTACTTCAAGGCCTCTCTTTCAAGTAATATTACCCATGGCAAATGGATTTAGGCAACATGGTTTTCTCAAGTTGATTATCTCCTTTCAATTTCAACAGACTATTAGTTAATATAAATATATCCAATAGACTGGAATTCTAGTGTGATTGATAAAAAGCAGCCATTTTTTTATAAAGAGAAGTATATATATACATATAATATATATATCCTTCACACTCATATTTTTCTTCACATTTGTGCCCAAATGCAACAAATATGCGAATTTCATACTGCTGAAAAATTAAAATCCTGAACAATGTTGAATCTTCCTCCTCTTCTGTATGGTGAAATGCATGATTATGCAAATACAGTAAAAATTTAGATAACAGTTTACTAATTTCTCCTGAGAGATATCAAACAGTATAAGAAGGTAGCCCACACTTTTGGTAGCTTTAATCTTGACACAAAGGATACATTACCTAAAATAGCACTGAACAGTATAAAACATCCCAGAAATATCAATGAGAATTAGAAGAACCCTGGTAAGCTTCACAGAATAGGTATTCTTGAGTTTAACTTCATATGATGGGTAGGGTACAGATATAAACAAAGAAGAGAAAGGCCTTTCCCATAAGAAGGATCAATATGAACAATAAACATAGTGAGTTTACTGCAGGAGTCCTCAAACTTTTTAAACAGGGGGCTAGTTCACTGTCCCTCAGACCATTAGAGGGCCAGACTATAGTTTTTATAAAAATCTATGAACAAATTCCTATGCACACTGCACATATCTTATTTTGAAGTAAAAAAACAAATGGGCAAAAACACCCGAATATAGCCCGTGGGCCATAGTTTGAGGACACCTGGTTTACAGGAAGGCAAAGGAATTAACCTCACTAGGGGCAAGGAACCATGTACATAAGCAACAGAAATCAAGAATGCAAAAGAAGGGTAGAGATGGAAAAGTCAGAAAAATGTCAGCATACTCAGAATGGCAAACTAGGATTTGTTGAATATTACTGTGTGGTCTAGGATCTTGAGCAAAGTAGTGTCAGAGAGATGAAATGTAAAATAACATGCTGGAGAGACTGAGGAATGCATAGGGTAAAAAAGTTAGAAAGTTGTAATGAAAAGGGACTGTGTGAAGATGAAAGAAGTTTGAATGAAAAAAGAAAGGATGTACAGAAATGATATGGAATAGGGCCTGGTGAATCTCACCTCTACAAAACACAGATGGAAAAGAACTAGTAAAAGATGACTGAACTTTCAAATCTGAGGAACCAAAGAAAGCGATATTATGAAGAAGAAAAGGAAAATAGGAAAGGAAAGGTTATTTTAGAGAATAAAAAATAACAAATTCCATTTTAATCTGATTTTTCAAAACAAACTGGAAATCCAACTATTATATAAACATCTAGTTTTTAATAAATAGCAACAAACTCAAAATTTTTAAATATACTATGCAGACTGAACAAATCCTCTACAAACTTGACTTGGCCTTCAGGTGGCAACATTTTTTAGATCTAGGATACCAATTAAAAGCCTAAATCTAATTAGTATAAGAAAAAATTGTGTTGAAGACTTTGGAATTTAGTGGATATCTTGGCTAGCTCACCCATCCAAGTTATCTCCACCTTTGCTTGTTTTGACTAGGCTGTTTTATAACTCTATAGAAATAGGAGATAACTTGTAGAAAACTGATAGTCATACAAATAAATCCTGTCCATAAAAATGTTTCTGGTAGAATGAAATAACTATTGCCCTAGAGACAATAACCAATTTTGCATCCATTTATACATTCCTTATTTGACTACAAATGTGTGATGATGCTTTGAGTTCTCTTTCAAACCAGTTGTAATATCTTACCTGTTTCTTCCTTAAGTAACTAGTTTAGTAAAGTCTTTAGCAGATTTTATCCTCTTTTAAAACTTACCCTTTAGCATCAGTTAGACTATTAATTAGGGTTACCCAAAGACTCTCTCCCATTTCTCCATGCTACTTAAGTTTTTTATTTTTGTAGTTTTTCGATACTGTTGTAATGGAGGAATGGTACAGATGTCTGACAGGATAAGCCAGGACAGACATAAACTAATGTTATAGATGAGCTCCACAGAACAGTTTGGAAACTGATCAATTAAACTGAAGCATTAACATAAACTTTATTTCCATATCTCTGATTTATGCTCAGATCAATAAAAAGAAAAGAAACAAAAACAAAAAATTGAATCTTGGATCTAGCCATTTTTCAAACTGCAGGTACCAAAACTTGAGTGGGAATAAACGCAATACAGTGGGTTAAGACCAGATTTTTTTTTTTAACAGAATGAAACAGGGAAAAAAAAGAAAAGGAAGGAGAAATGGATGAGGAAGGAAAAAGATTACCTGAGAGCACCATATATGGTTAAGTAATGTTTTATGAACTTTTGCTTTTAGGTGCATGTTCTGGGTAATGATATGAAATTACGAAATCCGTTTCTTAGTTTGGGTTGTAGGCAAAAGAAAAAAAAAAAGTTTTTCAAAGCCACTGATCATATTTAGGCACTCACACACCCCTTCAAAAATTCTTGAAATGCTGTGCATCCCCCTGCACTTTTTAAGTTAACATCTAAAACTTTCCACTGAAAATTATAAAGAACATAGTTTCTAGCATTATAAATATTTTTATGTTGGAACAAAACTATTATATCATTTTTAAAAATGTATCCAGTGAAATCTAAACACTAACATTTCAACACTCACCATCAACAATTTTAAAAATACACGAAGAAGGGCTTTTCCACAGAAGGAAACTTAACATTGTTCCATTTTCTCCTTCAGCTCATATTTCCACTCTACTTCCACTGGTCTAGACCAGATCAAAGATACCCTCAGAACACATTATGGTAGCTTTTACAATGGTATATACAGATGAATACGAAGTGGTGGTGGCAACCTCAGTTTTAGGAGAACAACTCTAATTTAACAGACTCAACCGTCTACTTGTCCCCTAAATGAAAAGTCACATCACACAGCCATTAAAAATTAAAGTTATATGATCTAATAAAACTTTCTTTCCTAATATGACCTTATAGATGCCTTTAGCAAACTAAGAATTTAAATATCATTACTCTTAGCCAAAACAGAACATCTAAAATACTTAGAAAGTTGGAAGATAGTAAACTATAAATTGATTATAGGGCATAAGGCAAGGGAGGATTCTAGAAGAGTACAAAGGAGCTATAGAGAACTTCACAGCATAGTTTTCAACAGGGGCCAACCCGGAACTTTTTTCTTTATTCTTATAGTTTTTTCCCTTGATGCTCATAATTTAAATCCTTTTCTTATTTACTTTATACTAAACTAAAGGCAGGAAAAGCTTTTAGAAATGGGGCATGTGATTTCAAACATGAAATCCTTAAACACAATACAGGAAACCCTAGCTTAAAAGAATCCTGGAGTTGAGAGAGAGTGTCTCATGACTCCTTATTGAACAGGGCCTACAGGTTCCCTATCTCAACACTGAAGACTTACTGTACCTAGATAAGTGCTGGATTGAATAACCAAGAAACAGGAATGGGAGGGGCATCTTTAAAATTCTGCCTGCCACAAGTCTTTTGATGTTGAGTTCATGCTGTCACTCCTTCCTCATTATTCTGAAAGGTACGGTATGTTCTGTCTTTCATCTACCTTGTAAAAGTGAGTGATCACTGGTTTTTTTCATTTGTAACTTCTATTAAATACAATAGTTCCACTAAGCAAATGCGTTCCAAAACAATTCACAAACTTGGTAACATGTTAATAAAACAATGCAGAGACTTTGTCTACATAATTTTTCACTCCACAAATCAATGTATACAACTCTATAAAGGACTTAAAATAAAATAAGAACACTAAAACAGTCCATTAGAAGTTCTAGGTAAAAGGTACAAGCAGGCTTCTATCGCCATGATTACTAAAAGATCTTAAAAAAAAAAAAAAAAACTTTAGTTTTGTATCAAAAACCACCCAAACTCAGCTGGGCTTGGTGGTTCATGCCTATAATCTCAGCATTTGGGGATGCTGAGACAGGAGGATCACTTGAGGCTAGGAGTTCATGACCAGCCTGAGCAACATATCAAGACCACATTTCAACAACAACAACAATAAAAATAAAATAAAATAAAATAAAATAAACCACCCAAACTCATGAATTGGAAAACAAACAGTTTTCTGTAAGCAAAGAAATACTTCCTCCACTTGGCTGCTAAAGAAATCTTATTATAGTCGTCCCCAGTGGAGGCGGGGGCAGAGGGTCTTGCGAATGGCCCCGCCAGCTACCGGGGCAGAGCTGGTCCAGAGACCGCTGCAGCTCTACCGCTACTCGCTGCGCTGTTGCCTGCAGCTTCCGACCAAGGGCGCCCGGGAGCGTTGCAAACACGCGGTCAGGCAGAGTTGCCGGGTTCACTCGGATGAAGACAACCCCGAGAGAATCCAGCAGATTATTAAGCGAGCCATTGAAGATGCCGATTGGATCATGTGCAAATATAAAAACAAAACTGAGAACCCAGCGAGTAAAGCCTTCCTAAAGACATCTGAAGTTGGGCGATCTCCCTTCTGGAACTCAGCAGCAGCAGCAGCCGTTCTGGAATATTCATCGGCCTTACTGGCTTGAAAGAGCAAGAAATCCTGGGGAGGGAGAAGCTGCCGTTTGCTCAGAAGGTTCTTCTTGCCACAGTCATGTTTCCAGCGTCCTTTACTCACGATGTGAAATTAGGAGAGAATGTGGTGTTTTTTGGGTTTTTTTTTCCTGTGTTTTTTATTTTTGTTTTTTTACTTTGCTCTGAAAGTGATTCATTTATTCTGGAGGTCTCTTTACCATCCTCTGAGCCCCAGCGCAGACGTCCCATTGGCGGGGCAGCGTGTGCAGAAGGAAGAGGATGAGGCTTAGAAGCAGACAGATCTGGATTTGAGTCCCCGCTAGGGGGCGTGTCACAGGTATTGCCTTTGAGCTCAGTTTCCTCCTCTGTGAGGATCCAGTGAGATGAAGTTGAAGTGCCTAACACCGGATTTGGAACATGGTAGCACCAGTCAGTGTCCCCTCTGAGGAAGCCACCCAACCCTGCCCCTCGTCTGCTCCAGCACCCACCACGTCGGGGCTCGGCTATCCGTCTGTGGCTTGCCCTGCCCTGCGTGTAGCCCCCGAGCCCTCCCAGCTGCGCCGTGCCCAGCGGTCTGCCAAGGATCTGCTCTTCCTGCCAGCTGCCTCTCCATCCCCAGGCGGTCCTTGCCTTCAAGGAGTTTATCGTGTTCTTGGGTTTGTAGTGTCCTTGAAGTGAAACGCACACTGCGTGGAGCAGGGGAGACGGCCAAAGCTGTGGCTGTAGATGCTGCCTGTTCAGGCCTCTGTGAACCTGTGATCTGTCTTGATGGCCCTTCCGTGTGTTGCCACCATCACGGAGGAACAGCAGGGAGGGACAGAAAGAGCGCGGGTTCTGGGAGAACGGGCCAGAGCCGGTAGAGCAGCTGGAAGATGCAGAGAGAAGCCACACTGGGCCTGGAGTATTCCCCAGGGCACTCAGCCAAGGGATAAGCTATTATGTGTTTGTGTCTTTGCAATTGTGTGACTTAAAGTGACTCAGATACATCCACATGTATGTATGTATGCAGCTAACAGTGAAGTAAGCCTATCAATTTGAGAGAATAAAAAAAAAAGAAATCTCATTATAATACATACATTTGCATTAGGCAGTTTGTTATTTTTCAGCTGGGTAAGATATCCCAGTAGCTTCTGATCTTTAAACAAGGTCTGTTTATGACATCAAAAATGAAAACCAGTAAGCAGCTTAGAGTCAAAAAGTTTAATTTATTACAATTATTTTTAAAGTCAGCTATGATTTTGACAAATGTTATGGGTAAGTCTATAGCAAGTTTCTAATTTCTAAGATACAAAAGACAATAAATATAGATTCAAATTCAGCTTAAAAAAAAAGAGTACTAGAGGAAGGGGGCTGTCTAGTTTATAGCCATAACTAGATGACTGTTAACAGTTGCCTTTATCCACCATGGAGAGCAGCCCAGAAGCTTCATCTGATAATCTCAACTGCCAGCTACTTGTCTTTAGCAAGTAAGATAAGTACTACCAGGAACTGTCTGGAATCATTGCTGTCACTATCATAGTAAATCCTGCTATCATGGAAAGCATTAAATAATCTGGAATTACTATAAATTCTCCAGAATACAGATGGCCCTCAATGGGTTCCCCATCATGCAGGTTCCCCATCCCACTGTAGTTCAAAAGTATTCAAAAAATTTAAAAAATAACCGTACAACAATAAAAAACACAAATAAAAAAATACACTATAACAACTACTTACATAGTATTTACATTGAATTAGATATTATAAGCAAAAGAGATGATTTAAAGTATATGAGAGGATGTACATAGGTTATATGCAAACACTACACCATTTTATATAAGGGACTTGAGCATCTGTGGATTTTGGTATCAGGAGAATCCTGCAGATACCGAGGGACAACTGTGCTACCTCTAGCAGAACTGCTTTCCATAGCCATATGATGAAGTCATCTCGAAAAGTCCCAAGTTAGCCCAAGCAAAGTTTAGAACAGAACCTTCCCTCGTCTGTGATCCTATTTCCATCACTGAATACAGATGGCCTCATTAAGATAGAATAATTTTACTCTCCTCCATTACTTTATCAATAAATATGACCCCTAAAGCAGGGGTCCCCAACCTATGGTAAGTTGTATAATTATTTCATTATATATTACAATAATATATAATAATAATGGAAAATAGTAATAATAGTAAATAGTAGTAAATATTAACAAATAGTAGTAAATAGTAATAATAATGGAAATGAAGTGCACAATAAATGTAATGTGCTTCAATCATCCCGAAACCATCCCCCAACTCCCTGGTCTGTGGAAAATGTGTTTTCCATGAAAACGGTCCCTGGTGCCAAAAAGGTTGGGGACCACTGCCCTAAAGTATCCACTTGAGAATCATCAGGGAAGTTTTTGCTTTAGTTTCTTGATGGATTTAGGGACTTTTGTGTTTTGTTTCCTTTTTTATTAACTGCTCTATTGTTTTCAGAATCAAGAAAGGCACCCTGGCAGCAGTAAGAAAGGACTGCTTTTTTTCCCCCTTATTTATAATCTGAAAAACAAAACAGAATATTTGCAAAACAAAACTGCCCCTTATTCATAATCTGAAAAACAAAACAGAATATTAAAGACTCCCCTGATCCAACAAATTTAGGGAGAAAAAAAATCTCCCATTAGACCAAGGTTTCTCAATCTCTTCACTCTTAGCACTTGGGGCCAGATAATTCTTTGTTGTAAGGGTCTGTCCTGAGCATTATAAGATGTTTAGTAGCATCCCTGGCCTCAACCCACTAAATGCCCTCCTGTCCCCCTGCTGTGACAACCAAAAATGTCTCCAGACATTGCCAAACAACTCCTAGGATACAAAACTGCCCCTGGTTGAGAATCAAGGCATTAGAGGAAAGATATTCCTTTTTCAACATGAACCCCTCAGCAGTACTCTTTAGGTAAAGAAATTCCTCTAGGCCTGAGGGTGTCAGACTTCACCTAAGGACTCTCAAAACACTGCCCTTTTCTTCCACGTGAACAATGACAGAGAATAATAAAGATGTGTTGTAACCTTCTCCTCTGTGGCTGGCTGTGATCGCTTAGTGGTGCATTTCAGTCAGAAAACACCTTAAATTCAAGAGTTGTTTGCTTTATTTTTTAAGTCATCTCTTTTTAATGTTGTACACATGAAAACCATAGTTACTTTTTCTAAAGAAGGATGCTAAATAACACGAGGAGATATAGAAATGTAAAAGATAGTTACTGCCTTTTGAGAGTTTATAAATAAACTGTACTTCACAATTTAACACTTGAGTCTCAATCACTTAAAAAAATAACTTATAGCCTCTAGTGTTATCCTATGTCTTCTAAATTAATGATACAATGATCCATTTTCATGTTTTAGAAAAGTTACAGACATAATTCTACATAACTTGCAGAAGCAAACCATTTTGGCTTTGTTTTAAATAACAGTATGTCTACCAGTACTGTAAGAATTTCTATCTACTTCATTCAGTGTTATAACTCTGGAATGAAGAAACATTCTGAAAAAGACTCCAGACAATTCTAGCTTTTTTCATCTCTCCACATAAAACAAGTATGTTTGGTGAGATAAACACCATTATCTAAATTATGTCTTAAGGGAAAATGAAGCCATCTGACATGAGGTCACACCTCTTTACAACTCTCTATAGCTCTGGGAACAAAGGATGAATAAGGAAAAATACTACTCAGTGTGGATCTTTAAAATGCTATTTGCTCACTTTAATATTTTTAACACACAACAGGAACCATCACATTCAACTTCCAAAAGGACTCACTCCCAAAACTACTCACTAAACATCTACATCGTCTTTCAATACAGCCTAATTGCATCATCAAAAGTCTTTTACTTCCTCCCCAAATAAGAACAAGCTTCTTTCGACATTCAATCATTTGTTCACTTTTTAATTCATTCAACCAACACTTTTTGGGAATTAATATTGGCCAGGCACTGTACTAGGCCCTAGAGAACAAAAACAGACAAGGTACCTTCTCCAAATTCAAGGAATTAACCAATCTACTTGCCGCCTCTTGTTCAACTTCTCTACCACCTCTCATAATGTCAATGGGCACAAAGCAAGGTGCTAAGTTCTGCATAAAAATCAGCATCAGCCTACAAGTGGCTAACATGTTGCTCATATTCTAGTCAAGAAGTACTGCTATCTATCTAAATCACTCACTTTGGACTGCTGACTAAAGAAGAGATCCAGCTGTTTTATCTCCTAATTTTTCAATAAAATGCACATAAAGAACCACAAGACAAAAACTAGTAACAGCTCTGTCAACCAAAAATAAGAGATGATATGCCAAAGTCTGAGTGAAATTTCCAAGAACTGCATGATCAGTGAGGATTGCCCAAGAAGCACAATTGACAAAGAGTGCATTTCTATACTCTACCATATGACGTTGGGAATCCTATCCAAAAAATGAATAAGTGAGAAAACAAGCAAAGTAAAACAGCAGCATGAACCACAAAGAAGATGTAGAAAGCATCTCATCCATCCCCACTGCCTGAGCTTATTTCTAAAACACAAGAGCTGGCCAGGAGTGGTGGCTCACACCTGTAAATCCCAGCACTTTGGGAGGCCAAGGCAAGAGGATTGCTTGAGCCCAGTAATTCAAGGCTGCAATGAGATGTGAATGCACCATGCACTCCAGCCTGGGTGACAGAGCAAGACACTTTCTCTACAAATGAAATAATGAATGAATGAATAAATAAAATACAAGAGCTGTACCTACTGGAAAAATAGACTACAGACATTCCACTGCATGGAAATTCTTTCCAAAGCCTGGCAGGACTAGACTTCCTCCCTTCCTTGTAACCCTCCCCCACAAGATCTTCCACCTCCATTCAGAGACCACAGCTTTTGGGCTGGGCAGGCAACCAAGAAGAGTGAAGAAGCAATGGTTTGTAACTGCCCAAGGAAGACTTTGTATAACAGCGTCCAAGACAGGAAAAGCTCTGTGAGCAGAGTGCAGGATGAAGGTCAACTTTCAAGTTCAAAGAACTGCAAACTGCTCCTAATTCTCCAACTCACTCA